TCTCTTCTGAAAATATTCCAAGATTCCTGACCTGCTCTGCTGCATTATACAATGTTACTCTGCCAAAGTCTTAGCTCATTTCCTCTCCTGCTTGCCCTGATACAGTGCTACACATCAATAACGCTCTCTCCCTTCCCAATTTCATACTTTTCTGTCTACTTGAAATGACCTAACTTCCTTGTCCATCTGTGAGGGCCTATCATGCAGGTTCAATGCAGGAACCTTTACAAACAATACCTCACTCTGCCTTCCATCAACACTCACAAGTTGCACCTCCCTCTAGTATAGCACTTACTGTACTTCACCAATTCTAAGACACACTTTTCCACTCACATTTCTCTGAAGACAGGATATATCTTACAACTGATAGCATACCAGTCTCATTAGCAGCATTTCTTCTTTTTTAGTGGTATAAAATAATTGTGAGCCTTACAATCACTGGCTTTGATGAAATAAGGTTTTACATTCTATTATAATTACTTTGTATATTTGTTCCCTCCACTAGACTGTGAACCCCCAAAGAGCAAGAGCTATGTCACAGTCATCTGTGACCAGCATAGATCTGGGCACAAAAAGAGTGTCTATCCAATAAACACTAATAATAATTAGTATTTAATAAGTATAAGGTACTATTCTAAACACTTTACATGTATTAACACAGTTAACTCTCACAACCACCCCCTGAAGTAAGTACAATTATTATCTTCATTTCATGAAGATAAGTAAAGAGAGGTCAAGACACATAGGTAAGCTCATACAAAGATACACCAAGTTGCAAAAGACTTGAACCCATGTTCACTGATTATGATTCATACTGTCATCATTTGTCCATTCATCAAATATTTAATGAGCAATTACTCTATACCAGCTACTGTGCTAAATACTGGTAAGCAGATCCTGGTTCTCAGGAGGCTACTCCCAACCATAGGTTCATTCTTGAATTTTTACCCTCCAAATGTCAGAACCAATCCACAAATTCACTAAATTAAATTCATTCTCTTTACTTTTCCTTTTTAACATCTTTCCATATTGTCAGTTCTCCTTTAAAGTTATTAGCACTCTATCAAGAACTAAAGCAAATGACACACAAAAGAAAAAAAATTTTCTGTGCTCTATTATTAATTAGCAGCTGTGAAAGTATCACAAAAGAGACTTAAGGAATGGGTAGCAAGATTAAAAAGCTCTTAAGAAACAAAGATTATGTTTGCAAGTAAGTATTGTCAGTGAAAAAAAGAGAGGGACATAAAACGCTGAAATTTTGCTTTTAAATATAGTGTGAAAAATTTGCCCTGCCTTTGCTGGTGTGGTTCAGTGGTTTGAGTGCCAGCCTGCACATTCCTGGTCAGGGCATGTGCCTGGGTTTTGGGCCAGGTTCCCAGTAGGGGGCTTGCATGAGGCAACCACACACTGATGTTTCTTTTCCTTTCTTTCTCCCTCCTTTGCCTTCTCTCAAAAAATAATAAGTAAATAAATCTTAAAAAAAAAAAAAAAGTTTGCACTGATACTCTGGCTGGTGTGGCTCAGTGGACTGAGGGCTGGCCTGCAGATAGAAAGGTTGCCAGTTTGATTCCCCATCAGGGCACATGCCTGGGTTGGGGGCCAGATCCCCAGTTGCAGGTGTGCTAGAGGCAACCAATCTCTTGCACAATGATGTTTCTGTCCTTCTCTTTCTCCCTCCCTTTCCCACTCTCTAAAAATAAATTAATTAAATTTTAAAAAAAGAAGAAAATCCTTTGTTTAAAAAATAAGTTTTTCATGAGGCCTGAGATGCTTAAGAAAAAATGATTCTTTTAATCAGAATAAAAATGAACTAAAGAACCTTATTCCCTTTAAAGATTTTACTTATTTATTTTTAGAGAGAGGGGAAGGGAGGGAGAAAGAGGAGAGAAACATCATCATCAATGTGTGGTTGCCTGTCGTGCACCCCTAACTGGGGAGCTGGCCCACAACCCAGGTATGCGCCCCAACCGAGAATCGAACAAGCAACTCCTTGGTTCGCAGGCCAGCACTCAATCCACTGAGTCACACCAGCCAGGGCTTACTCTTTTTATTTTTATAAAAGATTTTATTTATTTGCTTTTAGAGAGAGGGGAAGAAGGGAGAGACAGAGAGAAACATCGATTCATGAGCGTTAGAGATACACTGACCAGTTGCCTCTTGCATGCCCCCAACTGGGGACCTGGCCCACAACTCGGGCATGTGCCCTGACAGGAAATTGAAACAGTGACTTTTAGGTTTGCAGGCTGGTGCTCAATCCACTGAGCCACACCAGCCAGGGCTTATTCCTTTTATTTTAGCTCTTGCTATGTAAGGGGCTCACAGGAAGTCCTTACATCCTCACTTTATTTTTTTAAAGATTTTATTTATTTTTGGAGAGAGGGGAGGGGAAGGAGAAAGGGAGGAGAGAAACATCATGTGTGTTAAACAAACATTCATCTGTTGGTCGCTTTTTGCATGCAACCCAACCAGGGACCGGACCTACAACCCAGGCATGTGCCCTGACCAGGAACGGAACTGGCAGCCTTTTGCTTTGCAGGATGACACTCAGCCAACTGAACCACACCGTTCAGGACACATCCCCACTTTAGACAGACTGCTCACTCACACAACAGGCAATCAAGGCACTGACCATCACCTTTCTCTCCCCCAGGAGAAGACTCCTCATTTAGTAACAGTCATATACTACATAAAAGTAACCACAAATAGGAAAGAGAATAGAAGAAGGAAAAGGACAGGAAATTCTCATCACAATGGAACAAACCTTTATCATTTTAATGTAACACAAATGGCATTTATGGATTTTTTTGAACTGATGGAAATTTCTAATAGATGGAAAAAGTACTAAAATTAAAAACAGACATCCAGCCATGGCTGGTGTGGCTCAGTGGACAGAGTGCTGGCTTGTGCACCAAAGTGCTGCTGGTTTGATACCTTGTGAGGGCACATGCCTGGGTTGCAGGCCAGGACCCCAGCTGGGAGCGTGCAAGAGGCAACCAATCAATGCATCTCTCACACATTGGTGTTTCTCTCCTTCCCTTCCCCCCTCTCTCTGAATAAATAAATAAATACATAAATACATACAATCTTTTTTTTTTAAATAGACATCCAATTATTAAAAATAAGATGACTAGGCCAGCTCTAACATTTTATACCTCCACTCCATCTACCATGTCGTAGTCAAAGACCGAATAAATTTATGATCTGTAAATGTCCTATGACAACAATAAGAAATGCTTCCTTTCTTAAACTATCCTCAAAAAAGGGTAATCACTATTATGGACAGAGGATTTATTGGGAGAGCAAAAAGTTAAAAATGATATATGAAAAAAAGATATATCACTGTACATTTCCAGGAAAGAGAAGTAAAACATTTCACCAGATAGAGAAGTTACAGAGAACCAGGGTTCATTTTCCTCATTCCTATAATATAACTCATTTTCCTTATCTGTGACTCTTTAAGGATCTAGCACTGCCACCGTGTTGGCTCAGACAAAAGACAAATCACTCCCTCATTTCGAAAAGGCCTCACCATTTCAAGCTCTCAATCTTCAGAGCCAACCAAGCTGAAGCATCAGTCTCTTTCTGTTCTTCTGAAAGGAGTTTCACCTCCCTTTCAAAAGCTGTGTCTAGAAAGCCATCTTCTCTCACTCTGGAAACACACAGTTTAACTGTGTCCTCTGCTTTGTCTACCCTAAACAAGAACAAGGCCTCAGGAGTGCTCCCTTAGCCCATCAGAAAGAACCGGCTACCTCTTCAGCTCCTGCACAGCTGCTTCTGTCTTTCTCTGAGAGACACTCCACCCTGGAGGGTCCAAGGGCAGAGTAACAACGAATGGGGCTGAAAAGTTGCTATAAGCTTATCTGACCTCCAAAACAGAGAGAGGGCCCTGGGGCAACCGACTCCTTCGCAAAGGAAACAGTATTTATAATTAAAAAATAACAAATTGTGTTTGCACATCCCTCACTGTGCAGCCCTTCCAGGTTGTCTCAAACTAGTTTTCTCAACTCACAATAAAGCACATTAGTACCAACTGTGTTACAAAGGAACAAACTTGATTATTGGCCCTTCATTCTCTATTTCCTTTCTCTTTCTACACACCATTTCTAAAAATGTCCAAAAGTATGGCATTTTTCCTACACAAGTCTAATGACCAATTTGTCACATCACAGAACTGTTATTTCTGCACATAATCTGCTGTGCCTAGACAGAAAGTACAAATGTGCCTATTGAGGTTTTGCAAACAATATGCTTTGCCTTGACAAAGAAGTCAGTCGTAACATTAATAATGGTAAGGCCTAAAATCCAATAATACTGTTAGTGATATAGTAAGATCAGCTTAGTACTTACAATTTACAATTTTCATAAACAATCTCAATCACATACATGATACTTGCAATAGCCCATCGTATCACTACATCTCCCAGAGGTTTAGAAAGGTTAAGTGGGACCTGCCCAAGATTATCTATCAGCTTTAATCAGCGGTGGACGTGGGCTGGAACCTGTCGAACTCTAAGCCCCTAGCTCTTTTCTCCAGATCCCTACCAGCCTTAAACAGAGGGCTCTTGACTTCCATCCTCTACCAGAGCAGCCTATTGCTCCAGGCGACCGGCCGTTCCCTGCCAGGATCAGAGTTTGCTTCTTCAGCTCCAGCAGCGCTTTCATCCTCCACCACCCTCCCCCCGCGACCATTCTCTGAAAGAAGCGGAAAGGGAGAGGCGACCGAAAGCTCCTGGGGGAAGGGACGATGACAAACGGGGGGAGCACGGGACACTGGCCCTGCCACGGGCTCCTTCACTCTGCAACGCGCACCCCCTTTCCTCCCCCAAACTGCCCAGCCCGTCTGACAACGATCTGCCCAGCCGTACCCCAAATTCCCCATTCGTTACCTCAAACTGTCCCTCCCCCACGCCCTTTCGCTTCGGACAGGCAGACCCCCCCCCCCAATAGTCCGAGTCTCCTTCCATCAAGCCACCCACTTCCCTCCTTCCACCACCACTCACTGTCGGTGACTGGGCCCGGCCCTCATGGCTGCTCCGTTGCCGCCCGCCACCAGCCACCGACACCGCTGCTCCACGCCCCAGCCCCTCAATCGCCGCCGCCGCCGCCGCCGCCGCCGCCGCCGCCGTCGGCTCGCCGGCAGCTGCTCCTGCGCCTGCGCAGGCTGGCGTGCCCGGGCCTTCTCGGGCCGCGCGCGCCTGCGCAGCCCGCCCCAGGGTCGTCTTAGTGAGTGCCTGATGCCCTGGAACCCTGTGTCTCAGGCAGACATGGCGGCGGGCTTTCAGGATTTGTTAATTTGGCTCTAGGTGGCTGCTCCAGGATTGAGACCTCTGAAATATCTTGCCTAGTTACTAAATGGCACTACCAGGATTCTGTATCCCACTTGCACCTAAAGGCCTGAATTTAGGTGCTCTGAGGTGAGCACTGATAATAAATTTAGGTTTTCCTCCCTCCCTCCCTCTCTCTTGCCATGCTAATCTCTGTGCGAGTCCCATTTTAGTAAGTGAGCTGATGAAGCGCGCGCTCTTTTGTTTGTTTAATTGATTTTTAGAGAGAGGAAAGAAGACATCAGTTTGTTGTTCCACTTATTTTTGCATTCGTTGGTTGATTCTCGTGTGTGTGCCCTCACCTGGGATGTAACCCACAATGTTGGCGTATCCGGAAGATGCTCTAACCAGCTGAACTACCCGGCCAGAGCCAGGTTTCTTTCTAGAAGATGATCACATCTATTGTAGAATGCATTGGGGATAATTGTAAAAGAGGCAACTTTGACACCCCAAAATACACTACTGGCTAGGAGATGCTCAGAAGCCCTGGGACCTTGTCTAGGAGATGATTGCATCTAGAACGCGCTGGGACACCGCTAAGTTCTGTCTGTTTATGAAATGCATACTGTTTATTGGACGAAAATGTTCTAGGTATCTCATATGTGCCGCTGAGTAACTTGCAGGCTAATTGTCCCCTACCTTCTAGCTGTCAGCGTAGAACCTGAACCTTTTGCAAACTAGCAAAGGAAAACCAGACCTTTAGCCCGAGGAGGCCCGACTATCAGCCCATATACCCTTGTACTGCCTTGGCATAGCCCAATAAGAGACTAAGCTCAACTGAGTCCTGGGAATTCAACTACACAAATTGGAAAGCAGCAGGCAATGCAGTCAGAGGGAAGAAAAGGTACAGGACTAAGTTCTCCTTATGAGTTCTCACTGTGAATCGAACATCTGACCTCCAGCCTAGTCTCTCTCTACATTAAGAGTTTGGAGAGATAGGGACCAAGATATAATGTCATGAAAAAAAAAGAAAGTGCCTTTTTTGTTGTTAAAATGAACGATGTTAAATTCTCTCTACTTCTAGGCCTGATCCTAAGATGAATGTTTGAACTCCTAATCTAAGACTAAGGAAAGTTTTCCTATTTTGGAAAAGAAGCCAAAATAGGCCCTAGGAGTAGAAAATTGTTGCCTCTGAGTAAAGATTGAAAATGCTGAAAATGAAGTACTACAATGATGCTGAAGGCAATACAGCCTGATCGTCATTAATATTACTAATTCTACCGAGACTTGGGTGAGCATTATACCACAAACCCAAAGGTATCTGCTTCAATTCCCAATCAGGATACATGCCTGAGTTGCAGGTCTGGTCTCCAGTTGGGGGGCATGCAAAAAGCAGTTGATCATGGCACATCAATGTTTTTCTCCCTCTCTTTCTCCCTCTCTTCTCCTCTATAAAAATAAATAAATAAAATCTTTTTAAAAATACCACTAATTCTTCTGTAGGAGGCAAAAAGATATAGGCAAATGCACATGATGGAATTCTCAGGTCACTAAGATACTGAGGGTTATTCCCTAAAGCACATAGGAACATGATGATTTTTTTCTCATCAAATTCTTGTGATTTTTACATACAGAACTATGTGTTGCTGTGGGGAAACAGTGTACAAATTGGCATAGTCGTATCTCTAGAAAAGCAGGTCTATGCAAACAGAGTTCTCATGTATGAACTACCTCCCACCAAGGCAATTATATCTTGACATATGTAGAGTAAAATACAACAGCTAACTGAATAGGGTGGTGGGCACTAGACAATACATCCTATGGGCCTGTGGGTAGGGCCAGAGAATCCCAGAGACTAGCTCCTGGCTTAGAAGAGTCGTCGTTACTTCCAAGAGTATTACCATTTGGAACGAGCACCTCTGGCACCTTTGGCACCTTAGGGGAATTGCAAAGCCAGAAAGGAGGAAGAATTAATATAGACACTACGTTCTGATGAATGGATGACAAAAAAGAAGGCCATAGCTGACCCTGAAGCCTCTAGGAACTGTACTTTCCCAACCTCACCACCACATGCAGCCCCAGAAAAGCCTGGAATCTATATGATGACAGCCTTATCTTCTTATATTTGAACCATAAGCGTCTCCTAACCCATTTCCCTATTTGAAGTTCTTTTTCTTCCTTTCTTTCTTTTTTTAATTGAGTTTAGAGACAGAGGAAGGGAGAGAGAAAAATAGAAGCATTGATGTGAGAAACTAATCACCTGTACATGTCCCGATCAGGGATCCAACCCTCAACTTAGGTATGTGCCCTGACCAGGAATCGAACCCACAACTTTGGTGTGTGAGACAACACTCCAACTAACTGAGTCACCTGGCTAGGGCTTGAATTTCTTACCAAGGACAGAATAGTAGAACCTTTTTCCTACCAAGCATTCATTCACTATATCCAATGAAAATCATTCAGAGAACCAACCTTACTCCATTTTCAGACCATGTGGCCAAGCACATATCCCAGATCTAAGTCAATCAGGACATAACATTTCCTAAGTTATAATGATTGTTTTGGGGCTGGGCACACAACCCTGACAGAGCCAAAAATGCACCAGGAGAATTTTCTTTCCGAGAAAGTTCTTTCCCACTAAAACTGGGTATGAGAAGATGTAATATCCAGAAATGCTGCAATCATGATGATGCCACGAAGGGTGAGCCAATCCAGAAATGTAATTTATTCACTCAATGAACAAAAATCTATTGAGTACCCACTATGGGCAAGAAAGTCTCCTAAGTGCAGAAGATACAGTAGTGAATAATATATATTCCTTGTCTTCATAGAACATTCTAGTACAGGATATACAATAACAGCAAAGATTTGTATAGCATTTACTATGTGCCAAGCACTGTTCCAGGCACTTTACACATATCAGTTATTTTAATAATAACAGCTCTGGCTGGTGTGGCTCAGTGGACTGAGCGTTGGCCTGCGAATCAGAGTGCGAATCAGAGGGTTGCTGGTACAATTCCCAGTCAGGGCACATGCCTGGATGGTGGGCCAGGTCCGCAGTGTGCTCGAGAAGCAACCACACATTGACGTTTCCCTCCCTTCTCCTCTCTAAAAATAAAATCTTGAATTAATAATAACAACTTTATCAGCATATTATTATTATCCCTATTTTAAAATATGAGGAAACTGAAGAAGAGAGGTTACTTGCCCCAGGTCACATAATAATGAAACTGAAAATCAAACTCAGGATTTCTAGCTCAATAATCTGTGTGCTCATTCACCGTATTATAAACTGCCTTGTCATAGGAGGAAAAAAGGATCCTATGAGAGAATTTAACCAGTCTTGCAAGGAACAGTCTATGGAAAGGCCTGGAATTAAAAGAGAATACCAGGTAATCGAGGGGCTAAAAAATTCAACTAAGCTGAAAAATATTCACTTGAATTGAGTGACAGAAGATGGGACTGGCAAAGTAAACTGGAGACATGTTAGACAGTTTGTACTCTATTCTCTGAGCAGTGAAGCAAAGGAGTGACTAGTCAGATTAGGGCCATGAGGAGGCTGGTAAGATCAAAGATCCTGAAGATCCCTGAGGAGTCTCTTACTTAAAGCATTCTAGGCACTAGGCACTTTACCCATATCAGATATGGGTAAATAGGATCATTGCTGTAAGGATAAGCCTCTCTGAGGAAGTGGCAAGTAAACCAAACTTGAATGAGGAGCAGAAGCTAAATCTAGAAGAACACTTGAGTCAGGAGTAACAGATGTAAAGACCCTGAGGCAGAAATAAGCTTTGTGTGGTGTATTTTTAAAAAGATTTTAGTTATTTATGTTTAGAAAGAGGGGGAGGAAGAGAAAGTGTGGTTGCCTCTTGCATGCCCCCAAACGGGGACCTGGCCTGCAACCCAGGCATGTGCCATGACTGGGAATGAATCAGTGATCCTTTGGTTTGCAGTCTGCCACTCAATCCACTGAGCCACACCAGCTGGGGCAAGCTTAGTACATTTAAGAGTTGGAAAGAAAGCCAATGTGGCTGAAGCCTTGGGAGTAGAAGTAAGCAAGGCTTTTAATGCATGCAAGGACTTTGGACTGATCCAGTTGGAAGAGGAAGCCATCGCAGAGTCTTAGGTTCAATTGCCTTCCAATTCTATCCCCTTAAATCTTTAGAATTTATCTGCTTCTCTCCACCATCTTGAGTGCACTATTTTAGTAAGATAAAAGTTGGAACAGGATTTGGAATCAGGAAAGGTTTTTTTTGCTTTTCAGATGGAAGCAATTAAGCATTTTTAAAAAATAAATGCTGATATAAGGAATACAGTACAGACAGAAATTGTCTACATAGAAATTTATGGAAAAAGGTTCCCAGCCCTGGCTGGTGTGGCTCAGAGGACTGAGTGCTGGCCTGTGAATCAAAGGGTCATGGGTTTGAGTCCCAGTCAAGGCGCATGCCTGGGTTGCGGGCCAGGTCCCCAGTAGGGGGCATGTGAGAGGCAACCACACATTGATGCTTCTCTCCTTCTCTTCCTCCTTTCCCCTCTCTAAAAATAAATAAATAAAATCTCTAAAAAAAATTATTAAAAAAAAAAGGTTCCCAAAGGTGCAAAATAATTAGCCTTAACATAAAAACATTTACTGAGAGCCTATGTTGTGTTAAGTCCTAGATTCAAATGAACATATATTTCATTTTACAGGTGAGAAAACTGACACCTGAAAAGTATAAATAACTTGTTCAAACTCACACAGCTAGTAAATGGCAAAATGAGATATGAACCCAGGTAATCTGTTTCATTTGATTAGCCTCTTCTAACCTCACACAATACAAAATTCCCCCAC